TTTATAGGTGTGATCGCGTCATATGTAGAAAGGACAAAACTTGCAATTAATTGTAACCTATGATCTTTGTTTTGAAAATACATCTGTTTGTACAAGCTGCCTCTTCCCAGCTTCTGTGATTCCCCCTTCCACTGCCACCCTTGGCCTGTATCCTACTCCTTTTCTGAAGGTCTACTCTGGATGCAACCCAAACTATTTAAGATTGGTTCTGAAAATTTACAGTGCATGCCTAACCATGTCTACTAAGAAGTTAGTCCTACTGAATTCTCTTTCTCCTTAGGCATTACAGATATAGATCTTAAAACACGCATATACATTTAAATATATATATATACAAAGAAGCAGCCATATAAGATATATAGTAACAGCAATTTTCATTAGAGTGTCTTCCTGCTAAACCGTGCCATTCACTACTCTAAGAGATACTATTGACAGAAACTCAGCAACCCTTGCAGTTACCTCCGGGTTCATATCAGCCAGGTAGAATCTGATATATTCATTGTGCCATGATGTTAAACCACCCTTCTGAATTCAATGGGACTTAGTCCCAGCTTACTGGGGCAAGTATTGCAGTCTTTCAATTTCTTCCAATTTTATCTATCCTGAGCCCAGACAGTGGGAAATCTGATCACAGTTCTGTTGCGTCACATCTAGTTGGGTCCTAAGAGTGCAGTTTTGCAAGTATTGTTGCATCACACAAATGGAAAGAGAACAAACAAGTTAGAAGAATGGCTGTTAAAATTATCCAGTGAATCAACTATCAGCTGTCCCATTCTCTAAATATGCATTTTCCCTGGAAATAGTTGTTCCCTGCCAGCTTCCTCATATATGCATATAGATATAGACATAGATATAGATATAGGCACCAATCCAGAGAGGAATCCCCCTTACATACACATAAAAGCCAACGTACACAAAACCTCTGCTTTTGGGGAAGATTGTGTGCTTACCGGTCCCTGGATCAGGGCCAGAATTTCTGAACTGTGGAAATAGCTAGTTCTTAAGAAGACTTAAATAATGGCCTTGGCATGACTGATAAGAATATAAGAGAAAGCAGAAAAGACTGAGAAAGCCCAACAAATAAAGTAAAGTTGTTAGGACAAAACGTTTCCAGCTCATAATAGGATAAGCACTGGGTGTTAGAGTAAGAAGGATGTGACACTGTGTCCAGGAAAGTGTGTGTAGGATTGCAGTCTATGGGAGATAGTAATATACTATAAACAACTGGAAGATTTTAATTTTTTATTTTGTTTTAAGTTTTTCTTCTTTTTTGGAAATAGTTATTAATTCTCTCTTAGTTTTGCAAGATTGACTTCTTAATTAATGGTTCAAATCTAGCTGTTCTTACAAGCGTTTATTTTTGCACTTTTTCTCAAGTTGTAGTATTTTAAAAAACACATACAGGCTGCACTTCTAACCACACTTATTTGGAAGCAAGTCCTAATGTAAAACCAGTGGAACTTAGTTGCATGTAAATATGCTTAATACCAGGATAAACAGTATGCAAACTGATAGAATTTAGTGTTTTCCAGTTTGCTCCAAATGTTACGTCCTAAAACCAGTACAGTGGCACCTCAGTTTTTGAATGTAATCCGTTCCAGAAGACCGTTCAAGTTCTGAAATGTTTGAAAACCGAAAACTCAATAGCCGACAGCTAGGCCTCAGGATCTTGCACTCAGTGGAAGCCGCGTGGCATGTTTGACTTCCGAGGCGTGTTCGAGAACCGAAATGTTCATCAACGGAGACCTTTGAAAACCGAGGTACCACTGTATTTATTTTAGGACGTGGTGTTCTCAATTAGCATATGTCAATTCTGGGAAAACTAGAGTTTAAATTTTTGTTCTTCCAGGAAGCTCTTTGGATAGCTTTGGGCAAATCATTATCTTTCAGCCTAACAGCACAAATTTGTTGTGAAGTGAAATAGGATAATTTATAAAATTGCACTGAAGTGTCAGCATCCAACAGGTACGATCTGAAGGCTGCTGAGGCAACCACCTTGCTGAAACCAACCAGGCCTGATCAAGTGTGCGGACAGAAGGCCTTGTGGGAAACACACGTATTGCCTTAAGTCCCATGATGGAAGAAAGGTGATATTATAAAAGTAAGGAAAAATTATATTAATAACAAGAACTGTTTTGGTTTTTTTAATCAAACCATAAGGATTATTTTAGAGGCACTTTGTGTGAAGCTGGAGAACAAATGACATGAAAAAGAACGAGTTAAAATTTAAATTATCATGAAACAGTATTAGGCAACTTATAGTATAAGTATGTCGTAGCCTGGAGTTTGCAATTTCATAGTCAATGAATAACTCAAAAAGCTATGAAGAATTCATTTTTGAAAGATAGATACATAGAAACTATTAAGAGGAGCTCACAGCTAAGAAAGTGGTTCTAAACAAACAATCATATTCTGTGGGCAGGATCCACATTTTGCCTTCCTTCCATCCATCCATGGAAGGCTTCTGATGCAGCAGAGCGATTCTGGTGGCAGGATGGGGTGGAGAGGAAAGTTTGCAGCATTTCCTCTCTCTTCCCTGTAGCCACCTCTCCCACAATGCCCTGGAAGGTTCCTCAGCCATCCATAACAGGATAGAAGGTGACACTGAAAACTGCAAGGGGAGGGGGAAATCAGCAAAATGTGCCTTTCCCTCTCCTACCAGCAGGAGTGAAGTTTGGATCCAACCCAAAGCGTGGTGGTGAATTGGAATGATGCCGACCCACTCTGCCTCGGGTCCTGTGCCTATAGAGCACAATATGAGCAGATCTAATATGTGTAGTTGTACACCAAAAATGATGTATCCAGATTTTATTATAGCCTGTTCTATTCTAGATTCTATCTTTTGAATGCCACCCCAACTTTTCAGCACCAGGTGCAGACCCTTTTATGTAATCATGCCTTTTAACAGCTGCTATGAATTTTTTTTTTTTGTATATAAATAAATCTTACTATCCTGGTTTTATGTGCCATTTGCCTCAGATTTAAATTCTTTAAAAAAAAAGTTAGGAAAGGAATGTAGGCCCCTGTATAAACATGAAACTGCAGTTTGACGAAAATAACGAGACAGCAAAAATACTTATTTTGGCAAAACTATTTGTGAAACAATCAGTTCTGCTAGTGATAGACACCTTTTTTAAGGTCAAAAGAAGAGGTCTCTAGACACGCACAACTGTTGCAAGTTTTAGAAGAGTGTGCAAAGGTAAAATGAAACAAGAGTCTCCCTCCTTTGCTCAAATCACAGGTGTTCATGAAACCACTATTCTAAAGTTAGTGGAGTAAATTGCAAACATATCGTTTATTTTTGTCATCTGGTTTGTCTTAATCATGATCTAAAAATTCATTTATAAGCCTGTTTACAAAATGCCATGTTTATATCAATATCATATGCTGCTTGCTTGAAACTGTACACATTAAAATGAAGAACAGAAATCTGTGTAATGGTCAAAGACAACCAATAACAAAACCACTAAATTCTAGTTGTCAAACATAATTTACAATGTATATTTTTTCGTTTTTTCCTGATAAAACAGAAATTATTAAAATTAAAGTGATATGGGTGAGTGTTTATGGCTTCCTATTAAAAACCTGACTTACAGCAGTATCCATTTAAGTTTAAGGCAGAAGAAAATCATATAGAGATCTCTGTGCGATGGCCTGGTGACTTTATATCCTCTTGTCAAACCTCAGCAGTTTTATTTGTAGTGATACATGTTGAAGAAGGTTGGAGGTTAAAGTTGATAGGAGGGCCAGCAGGAAAGCCAACCAACTTCTTTCAAAAGATTACAACCTTTAACCTATTTGTGTCTGTCGGCAGACGCTGCCGACTTTAAAAGTGCACATTTTATGCATCCTTTAAACTGAACCCCAAATTCTAGAACGTATGAATGAAGTAAACACATTTTGCACTTTATTATAGTCACAGACTTCTAATGTTACTGTCACACATGCTATGTCCATACTCTGACTTATAGAATAATTGTTTCAAAAACCAATTTGGCCTTGCAGCAGTCTACATGCAACAAAAAGTCTATTCATGATTTAGAAAGGCTACTAATAAAAGCAATTCTAGAGCAAATATTGACATGAAATATGAAATAATATTTTATCTTCACTCTTGGCATCTTTTTTCCACACAAATACACAATGCTGCAAGATCTCATGAGGTTCACAAACAAAGTTGGACTACGATTCTGCAGCCAAGCATTCTAGAAAGGTGAGACTTAACCATTTTTTATGAACTTTATAGATCCTGAGTTCCAAATACTTTGCAAGAAACCTCTACTAGCTGCGTACCCATGCGCCACCAGACATTTACAGCAAATAAATTTGTTAGTTAGTTTCAAAATCTTGAGTACTACAATAGAATTTCTGTATCTTAAAAACAAACTACTACACAAAATTACAAATAAAAAGAAGTATCAACACAACAAAATGTAACCTCTCCTAGCTATATATGTATACATGTATTTTTTCTTGAAATAAAATAAGTGGAACCTCGGCTGTCAAACGTAATCCGTTCCGGAAGGCTGTTCGACTTCCGAAATGTTCGACAACTGAGGCGCAAAGGGTGGTCAGCAAAGTCAATGGAGAAAAAAGAATAACACGCAGCGGAAGCTGTTCGACTTCTGAGGTGCATTCCAAAACGGAAGCAATTACTTCTGTGTTTTCGGCATTTGAAAATAATAATAATAATAATAATAATAATAATAATAATAATAAATTTTATTTATATCCCGCCCTCCCCAGCCGAAGCCGGGCTCAGGGTGGCTAACAACAATAAAATAGTACAACATTCTAAAATCATTTCATTATAAAATTAATTCAAATCAAATTGATGGCAACCATTAGGCTAAAGTTCTGTGAAGATTGCCAAAGGAGGGAGTCAGGCTATGTCCTGACCAAAGGCCTGGTGGAACAGCTCTGTCTTGCAGGCCCTGCAGAAAGATGTCAAGTCCCGCAGGGCCCTAGTCTCTTGTGACAGAGCATTCCACCAGATTGGAGCCACAGCCGAAAAAGCCCTGGCTCTGGTTGAGGCCAGCCTAACCTCTCTGTGGCCTCAGCCAGAGCCAGGGCTTTTTCGGCTGTGGCTCCGATCTGGTGGAATGCTCTGTCACAAGAGACTAGGGCTCTGGTTGAGGCCAGCCTAACCTCTCTGTGGCCTGGGACCTTCAAGATGTTTTTGTTTGAAGACCGTAAGTTCCTCTGTGGGACATATCAGGAGAGGCGGTCCTGTAGGTACGAGGGTCCTAGGCTGTATAGGGCTTTAAAGGTTAAAACCAGCACCTTAAACCTGATTCTGTACCCCTCCAGGAGCCAGTGCAGCTGGTATAGCACCGGGTGAATGTGATCTTGCAGCGAGGACCCCGTAAGGAGTCTCGCCGCGGCATTCTGCACCTGCTGTAGTTTCTGGGTAGCCCCACGTAGAGCGAGTTACAATAATCCAGTCTGGAGGTGACTGTCGCGTCACCAAAATGTTTGGCTTCCGAGCAGCTCGAAAACTGAGGTACCACTATAGTTCACTTTCTATTATCAACTTGTGTGAAACGGCCATTAGCTCATTGGCATATTCTTCGCATGCAGATGGATCCAGATTAAATCTTTGGCATACCCAGGTAGGGCTGGGAATGTCCCCCGTTTGAAATTCCCTGGCCATTGGACATGCTTGCTGGGATTGATGGGAGTTGTAGTTCAGCAACATCTGGAGGGCCCAGGGTTTCCTGCCTTAGATATTCTCATCCCAATGGGAGTGCTTCTGCAAAACTCTTTCACATGTCTGTGCTCCACAGAAATAGCAGTATATAAATACCTAATAAGTAAAAATGCAATGCCATTCAAATGAGACTTCCTAACAAGTAAAAAATGAATACAACTTTACAAGTAAAACTGAGCAGTCTATGAAATAAAAAATCAGGAATTGGGGTTCAAGAATAATTTTAGTGGAGTATGCTATATGGTGGAAGCCTACCACTTCCAAAGTCCCACTGGCAGTGTTATGAGGTGTAGGGGTGTGAAATTCCCTCAGTTCCACACAGCACAGAGCTTGTAATGGGTTGGTACACAGCCTAAACACACACATGACATGGGAGCAACAGGGCTGCATTGTGTTCTATTCATAAAGATCCCTCCCTCTGTGTGTGTGTGTGTGTGTTTTGAGCTATAAAGCTCAATACCCTCAAATAAAAACCCAAGTTCATAAGCTACTGAAATGAGTATTTTCTAGATAAATTCCTTGTTGTCATTGCATGAATGGGTACAGCACAGTGTGTGTGTGTGTGTGTGTGTGTGTGTATCTCAATATCTCTAGATACTAGAAGTAGAGTTCTAGTTTTAAAAGCAAAGCATTTCCTCAGAAGGAATACATTTCTCTGATTTGATAGTCTATATTAATGATTTGCACCTCATATTACCCATGTACCTTTTGCGATGCCAATTATTCTGGGTCCTCCAAACATAAAGCTGCAGTGGTTTGGGTATGATTTTTGGTTGTTTGTTTATTTTCACATTATTAAGTGCTACCGACTCAGGGATGCACATTTCTATGTTGGTGAAATTTCAGAAACAAGGATTATGTATTAATAGCTCAACTGACTTGCTCTTATCACTACTGAACCTCTGAATCTGAATGACATTGAAAACACTGCACATAATTATCTCAACACTAATTAATGCAGATGCAGTAGAACATTTGGAAGAAGGAAACATGTAACATAAGGCACTAAATGCTCATATTTGTTTTCAGTACAGATGATGCCATTTTCTTTCGGTTGAATTCAAATGGATTTTATGAATGCTGTGACAAAAACTAGGTACTGAGTAGTATATGAGAAGGATATCCATTTGGGTGTCACTAAAAGGTAAACAGAGTATAAAAAATGCAGTATTTTGGTCCAAATTCAGACTCCCACTCTGTGTGGGACTTGGTTGGTTGGGATTTTGGCTTTCTCAAGTGACCTCCCCCCATCACCTTTATATCTGTTGGAGCAATCAGAACACAGCTGTTCTCTGAAGCTTTTCCTTCATATACTGGGAAATAGAGCACACCAACGAGTCTCCAAATATTGCACGATAACATGTTCAGTATGATCTCTGTTGCTGCAGGAAGTCTTGTGAAGCAGACACTTCTGTGCATGCAGATATCCCCAGGTCCGAGTATCTCTAGTTATAAGGCTACCTGGCTAACTGGAAAAGGACTTTTCACAAAACCCTCAAGAGCTTCTGCCAATCAGAAAAGACAATACTGGGCTAGGTGGATCAATGGTCTGACTCTGTATAAGGCAGTCTCATACGTGCCTGGGAATTGCAAGTGTTTTTGCTCTTTTTCTCCTAATGAAAACCGAAGAAGTAACAGGACCTCTGTTTTTTGAGAATGAGGTGTTGTATGTGTGCGTAAGTGGATCTGAAGGGACTGGTTCTCCCCCAGGTAAGACAGCACGTGAGTAAGTTCAACAACCTCAAAGCAAAGGTTCTATAGTATATGCATGTGCAATCAGATGTGGATGGCAATTGGTAAGATAAGGAGAATGATTTATACATAAAAAGGGGACATTGTGGGACAATAACTAAATGGAAGAAAGACTGAATGGATAAGGTAAAGCTAAAAAGGTAAAGGACCCCTGGATGGCTAAGTCCAGACAAAGCTGACTATGGGGTGCGGTGCTCATCTCCCTTTTCAGGCTGAGGGAGCTGGCGTTTGTCCACAGACAGCTTTCTGGGTCATGTGGCCATCATGACTAAACCGCTTCTGGCGCAACAGGACACCATGACAGAAGCCAGAGCGCACGGTAACACCATTTACCTTCCTACCACAGCAGTACCTATTTATCTACTTGCACAGGCGTGCTTTCAAACTCCTAGGTTGGCAGAAGCTGGGACAGCTACAGGAAGTCACCCCATCACACAGATTTGAACCGCTGACCTTCTGATCGGCAAGCCCAAGAGGCTCAATAGTTTAGACCACAGCTCCACCCACATCCCCCTATTGAATGATTACACAAGCACTGCTGTGAGAAGGAAACAGGCAGGGTTGTTTCTCCATATATGCTCGCAGATTTCCCCACAGGCAAAAAAATCAGGCAGATCCACTCCCAGTGCAAATTTAAAGCACATGGCTCCCCCCACAGACTCACAGGAACTGTGATTTGTTTTTTGTTTTTTTAAATAATATTTATTGAGAATTTTAAGATTTCAAAGAAACAAAGGAAAAAAAGAAGGAAAAAACAAGTAACAATTAAACAATACGAATCAATTAAAAAAAAACATCAAAAAGAGAAAAAAACAAAACACATAATACATCAAAATCAAAAAACAAAAATAGACAAAAAATTTAAAAACAAATCCAATATTCCCAAATCATTAACTGTCATTACCTTGTTTCATCGACCTCCTCATACCTCCCTTTTTTGTATTCTAGTTGTTAATTATCTCAGCAAATCCTTTCCATCTTTCATAATATTCTGTCATTAAATTACCTTAATCTATTTTAACCTTATCTTACCATAAAAGGCCCTAAAACTTAAAACTTAAATCTTATTTATACCAAATTCTCTTAACCATGACATATTCTTACATAATTCTTTTTAACATTTCTGCTAAAGCCAAATAATTTCATTCCAACATTTTTCTAATACTCTTTACTTTTACAAAATTTTCCTAAATAAATTGTTTAAAACTTTCTTCCAATCTTCATCCAACGTTTCTTTCTCCTGGTCTCGGGTTTTGTCAGTCCTTTCTATCCCATCCATCTAGTCCATCAACCTGGAAACCTTATATCTGAGGCGCTTGGATCTCTTCCATGTCCCATCCGCAGATCTTCTTCATATTTATACCTGTGCTTTACTTTGTCTTCTGCTCCTTTCACTCGGGGAGACTCCAGCTTGACAATGTTTTTGTCCCTTCTCGACAGATCAGCCCCTTTTCCAAAGTCAACACTGAACTCCATATGGTATTTAAAAACATGTTTCAAAGTCCCTCCAAAGTTAAGGGCCCGCACAACCCCAGATGCCTCCCAGCCCAAAGCCAGACTTGAAAGGTCAAAACATCCCTGCATAGGGGGGTCTATCCAGCCCCCCCATCTCCAAACCAAACAGAACTCTGTCTCTCCAAATCTGGCTTTCTCCAGGTTCATTCATCAAGTCCAACAACTCATGTTCCTGCTGGGCCACAGTTCCCTCCATCTCTGCCTCACTAGGTCCAGCAACAGCCTCCTCCCTCATCTGATCTGTCAAAGCACACTCCTGAGTTAACTCCTGAGTGGGTTCTATATAAGTACCCACTGCCTGTCCAAACTTTCCGATCCCAACAGTCATCAAATCCATCTTCTCATGTAACTGTTCCAATAAAGCACTTGTCTTACAAAAGGCCAACACCAGAGCCTCCGAATACATTGTTGTTGAAGGTCAGAGTCTGTTCCCACGATCTTAATCTATTGCAGCTGCAAAGCTCCCCAGTTCGAATTTAATAACAGTTTCACAAGCTCCCTCTAGGGGAAAAAACTTCTATTTGTATCTATCTCTCTCCTTTTTTTTTTTAAAAAAAGCAAATCTAACAACAAAGTTTCCTTTTTCAGATATTTTGTCAATATTTTGTTCCTTTTAGATGCGAAGGGGAACAATGGAATCAATATGTTTCTCTTCTTTTAACTATCTGTCAAACGTTTGTCTATAGTCAATGAACTTCCCGAAGACGTCTGTCCTGAAACCCCGCTCCCAGGTTCAGAACGGTGGAGAATTGCTTTTCTTTACTTGTCTTCTGCAAGTTTAATCAATCCAGAAAAAGTTCCCCCCTCTTCTGCTGCTTCCAAGGGGGGTTCAGTAATTTTAAATGATGAAAATTGATCCTTTATAACGATTTTCTAAGCTCTAGCTTGCCGTGTCTTTGCTTCAGTCTATTTACAAAAAGCGGAAGGCAGACTTCCTGTTTAGACCTTCCCGCTTCAGTGCCAAATTAAAAGAAATTTCTTATTCCAATTTTCCGTTCTACTCACTGACAGTTATTTAAGCTCCAATTGTCCACAGGAAAAAGTCAGCGCTCTCCGGCAACAGCAATGCGGCTTCACTCCGTGAAAGAAGCAGTCGATTCAAGGCACCGCG